AGTACACACAAATGTTGCAAGTGACAATGACATTATTAAAATGCATTGCATAAATATAGGTGGACTGGTGTCTGGTGGAGTATAAATAAAAGTAAAACTTTCATGAATTATTTACCTTCTTTGGTTATGTTTCTAAAATGCACCAATTTATGGCCTCTGTTTAGAAAAAATATCATTTCTACTTTTCCTATGAGCCAATTTAAAAGCTTTTAGTATTATTATGATTGAAAAGCTATTGTAGGCCACACTCAGGATGATGCATGTTTTTGAGGAATTTTCCCATGTATAATGAGTTTTTGGAAGTCATAGATTTGTGCCAGGGTGCTGAGGGTACAAGCAGCATTGCCAAGATATGTTTTTTCAGCCACAAGCGTTGCCGGCCATTTTCAAGATCGTTGCTGGGTAATTTTTAATAAAAAAGTGCTTCAAGCAACTTTGATTGTATATCCTTTACTATCCATGCATGGAAACACACATAACATAACTGATTTCTGGACAAGCGTCACTGCATCCTGATCCTTCCGGCATACCGGAAACCTTACTGTGCGCTTACGGTCCTTCAGATTTCCAGTAATTTTGAAGTTATTTCTCGTATGCAATAATTTCAATCCAAATGTGTTGGCAAGATCTTCAGAAGGTGTAAATTTTGCTCCCGATGCATTGCCAAAGATGTTTTGATATTCATTTTCGAGAGTATATTTTAGCACCCAAGATCTTTCGAGAGTATATTTGAGCACCCAAGCATACGTGCTCAGAGCCACCGGAATGACACACTGTACTGCGCAGTGCGCAGTTCTGATGGCTGTGAGAGTGTTTACTACTTGAGTACCAAAGCGAATGTGGTCAGAGCCACCAGAATTATGTGCTGTAGCTCGCAGTTTGGCTGATTGTGACAACACAAATTTTGGCACCCCAGCTTATGCACTCAGAGCTACCTAAACTACTCAATGTAGTGCACTTCTGATGGTTCTGAGTGTGTATATTTGAGTGCCTATGTTGAGAGAGCGTCATGGCACTGACGATGGTTGACAAAGCAGCTTGTGATCAATCATTTTAAATAAATAGACTACATCATTAGTCTAGCAACCTGAACTATGCACCATAGTGCATACCAAATCCAAACCTAGGTCACCAAACCCATCCCAGTGCAACCCAAACCAAGCCAACCCAATTCAACCTCACTCAATTCATCCCACCCAAATTCAAGCCAACCTAAGTGAACCCAAAAAAATCTAACTGAACCCAACCCAATGCAACCAAACCCAACCAAGCCCAACCAAATGCAATCCTAACCAATTCAACCCAAGCAATTACAACCCAAACCAATTCAACCCAACCCAATTGATCCAAATTCAAGTCAACCCAACCAAATTCATCCTAAGCAAATTTAACCCAACCCTATTCTACCAACACCAATTCAACTCAACCCAATTAAACCCCACCTAACTAAAATCAACCCCACCTAACTCAATTCAACCAAAATTCAACTAACTCAACCCAATCAAACCATATTCAAACAAAACAAATTCAACTCAACCCAATTTAATCCAACCAAATTCAACCCCACCTACCTCCATTCAATCAAAATTCAACTAAACTCAACCCAATCAACCCATATTCAACCAAAACAAATTTAACTTATTCCATCTTGATTCAACGCAATTCAACTACACCCAACCCAATTCAATCCAACATAATTTAATTCAACCTAATTCAATTCAACCCAAATCAAATAATTCCAGCCTGCATTAGAATGTATCAGAATGCATCAACTTTTTATTTAACTGCACTAAATTTCATGAGAATGCGCTAGAATGCATTAACTTGAATTAGGGTACATTAGATTTCATTAGGTTACACAAGATTGCATTATGTTACATAATATTGCATTAGGTTCATTAGATTGAATTAGAACCATTAGATTGCATTTGGTTACATTAGATTGCATTTGGTTACATTAGATTGCATTTGGTTACATTAGATTGCATTAGGTTACATTAGATTGCATAAGGTTACATTAGATTGCTTTAGAATGCAATAGATTGCTTTAGAATGCAATAAATTGCTTTAGAATGCAATAGATTGCATTGGAACGCAATAGATTGCGTATCCAAGTATCAGTTCTCTAACCAACCCTCTTAAACCCATTAATATTGTTACCAGTGTCTCAATGCGGCTGAGACAAACTCATTGCCTACTTTATCTGACTTGTTGGTAACAAGAATGAGCTAAACTAAAATGATGACTGAAGTTGGAAAAGGAAAATAAAATTAATTACTGGTTCTAATAACTATTGGGATCTTGTAGAGGAATGGTGGGACAGACAGATGACAGAATAAAAGAAAATTTATGAAATGTTTAAGTGAAATTGAACTAAATTTGATGCCAAGTAAAATGCACATGGACCAATTAGTGAAATGCACACCAATAAAACACTTCCAATATCAAGTTAGTTAGGAGGTTTGTGGTAAGCATGGGTCAGCAATTTATCCAGCCTATGCAGGACAACAGACCCCTTTGCTTAACAGCCTTAACTGAAGAGAATAAGAATGGTTTTAATTTTAATTGAATTAATAAAATAGTTAAACACTTCCAAAGAAAAACATGTACAAAGTAACACAAATAAGAGGGACAAGAGGGTGTGCTGTAAAGTAGCCTAAACCACCCCTGCCAACAATGCCACTTGGTGAGCATACTTGCCATATGAGAGAAATATAAATTTTCCAAAACTACATATGTGGTGGTTTTGAATGGTGTCTCACGGTAATGAGACAAGTACCAAACATGTTCTGAACAAGTCACAGTGGTGTGCTGTGCTTCATGGCTGCTTGGTTGGCCTTTAAATTTTCTGCTGTGAGCAATGGCACTTTTATGTCAGGAAACAACATAGGTTTCCACTTATGTCTGCTAGCTACAGCTAACTACCGTACTGAATAGTATTCCTAAACAAATATTCTAATGATAGATGCATTCTTTTTTGTGATTCTACTATCATAAGACTACTATTTTGGGACACATAAGTCATAAATATGTGGCAAGTGTAGTTGCCACTTAGAAATAAATTTATAAAATCACTTTTCCATTATACCACTTGGAAATTAGCTGCAACTAAATTTAACTTATATTTAGGTAGTCACTTGATGCAGGTACTCTGACTTTAGTTTTTCCCTTTCAATGGTGTAAAAAATTATTTTAGATTTGTTTTGTTGTAATCTTGCTGTTAATCTTTTGACAGGAAGAATAGGAAAACACATATTTGTATTTCTAAGGCTAGTTAAAGGAAGTATGTTAATTATGAGTTATCTTAATGTCTATGCTTTCTTTGCCAAATTTGGTATATTTTTGAAGCAAATCTCAATTGAAGAATTAATAAAGATGTTCACTATCACAATACATTTGTTAATGTATATAATATATCAGATCACAATGGGAAACTAAGTTAAATATAAAGTTATTGATGTTGACTGAAGTGATATTAAAGCCTACCTGTTTTGAAAAATTTGGAATGAGATTAGTTGACTGAAGTTATATTTATTAAAGCTTTCCCATTTTGAAAAATGTGGAATGAACATTAGTTTTGATGTTTCATCTGCAACTTCATTTAAAATGCTTATGCTTTATATATATATAGTCAGATGGGGTAAGACAGGACCGAAATCACTAACAAGCCTGTAGCATCTATACCATGAATAACTAAAAAACCCTAAACCTATCACAAGGTGTAGTTATGCAATGGGCTTCTAAGCTACAACTCAGACATTTTGCATCTAATATAGTTTTCTGTACAGATTAAAAAAAGGGAGCTGGTCCCATCTTACCCCAATGGGGTAAGATGGGACCGGGCATGGGGTAAGACAGGACCAACAGGTAATTCTTGTGTTACAAGGTTTTTAATAAGAGTACAAACCTGATATTCAATATTATCCATCTAGAAACACATTATTTGATTAAACAACCACTTGTTACTGTTTTGTGCTGCAGGAAGTCAACTCTAATATCAGTCACATTGGAGTTTTTGTCACGAGAAAACTTTGTTAAGCATAGTAATAGTAGGTTGGCTTTGATTCATTGTAGAGCACTGCTGAATGCTACATGTATATTCCATAAGTGTCATTGTCTGAAAATTCATCAAATTGGTAATAAAACCAATGGATAATAACTTAAGAGTCGGACGTCATGTGTTTTCTTGCTAACGGCATTTGTGGTGCACTTCTGCAAACATAGCCCATGCCCTCTCACAAAGTTATGATAATAATTATTTTTTGTGTTTTACACAATGATTTTGCCCCCCAATCACTCTTGCACATAGTTCTGCAGCTCACTAATGGGAAGAGACATCCCTATTTTCTCCATCCCCTTGATACAAATTTCCATAGTAAGCTAAATTTCTCTAATTAAAAAAGCTAACGAGTTTGAATGGTTATTTTGAGCAACAGATGAAAATTTTGACCAAAATACTCCATGTTTACTCATGCACAATAATATATTCATTTAAAAGCTACTTTTGATAAACTATGGGGTAAGAGAGGACCATTAGTGGGGTAAGACAGGACCACTTGTGGGGTAAAACAGGATCATTTAGTGGTCCCATCTTACCCCATGTCCGGTCCTTTTTTACCCCATTTTAGAATAGTTGTCAGGCAGTGATGGTAGCAGGTAGGAATGCCAAGTATGTCTCAAAAGTTGCTTATTACTTGAGGTTACCAGCCTACATCCACAAACCTGGCCAAAAAATTTTTTGTAATCAGACAGAGCTTATTTCCCAAACAGGGTTAACTATTTTTTGACCCTTCTTTACATAGGTTTTCTTCAAAAATTAACCAAAAATTCATTATTTGCAGAAGATGGTTGAAACAAACACTGAAATGACAGGCAATGATTGCTCTAACATATTCTTTTGTCAAATTGAGTTCAGTGCAGTTAGAATGCACGCCATGGGCTGGTCCTTTCTTACCCCATGAAGGCTGCGATCCTGTCTTACCCCATTTGACTATATAATTCTTGAGCATGGTAGGGGTGATGCTATTGTATTGAGCAAAGGATATATGATTGAGATTGGCAAAGGAATGGTAATGTAGCCTTAAACACAAGCTGTGCAATGTGGTTGCTCTTGTTTCAGAGAACTTAAGTTATAATTTATGGAAACCAGCCTGCTGAAAGGAGTTCAACAGGTGGCTTTATTACCCTTCTAATTACAATTAATGGTCCAAGATATCACTGTGTCAAATTTAAGGTAGTGCTTATGGAGTCCTCGTATATAATAAAAAATTTACAAAATGGATTGAGTCATTTTCTTTTAGTAAGATTTTTTCCATATTAACATCCTGCAATTATCATGTTAAGGATTAATATGGTACGGTACTGCTTGACTAGTTTGATAAAAATGATCTAAATCATAGTTGTTTCTTTACAATGTTATATGTTCACAGACAATTATCCAGTAGTTACTTCTCATTGTCAAGAAATCATGGCCAATAGTGGGATTGCTGTTGCAGAAAAGAGACATGAAACTACACAAGTCCCTTGCAATGACAGTTACTTGGCTGAGCTGGAAGCCTTAGCTGGTGATCGATACTCTGAACGCGATGAAGAGTACATGAAGGTAAGTAATGTTTCTTATTTGTATCAAGAGGAAGGAGTTAGCCCTTTATTGTGGCTAATTTGCCTTCCTTGCTAATTATTGATAGTACTCGCATTACAGAATTACTCACAAATATTCCTTCACTGTTCTGAATAAATGGAAAACTTTTAATTATTTGCATCTAGGAACAATGTAGTGGAAACAGCTCGTGTAAGTGTGCTTATTTAAAGTACTACGTAGCTGATTGTTGACAAAAATCCTATTCATCTCATGGTTCATGACTTCATGTGCCAGTATAGTACTATATTGTAGTACCTAGTATGTAGTTATAAAGTATCATACTCATAAAGAAAGGTATTCCCAAAGGTTGGGCCTTTATGAATGAAGTGATGTGTTTCTTTTGTAGGAAGTGGCTCGAAAAACTCCACCTCCTCCTTTAGTGGCACCTGATCCTCGAAAATCTCGCTTCAATCAAGGAAGAAGAGTTGAACATAATTCTTCACAAAGCAGTTACAACAATGATCGCCGGGAAAATTATGAACGACACAGTAGAGGTGATTCTAGATCATACAATGGCAACCAACATCAGACAGACAAAAGATACTACCACACAAATCAAAGAAGAGAAATAAGCTCCCAAGAATCTTGTATGTCAATTGGCTTGAATGTGAATGACATTGGTAGTGAACATCAACGGCATGAGGACTTCAGTAATAATTCTCGTGATAGGAGAGATTTTGATAGTAGGTTTAAGAGACATAAAAACTTGGGTGACGAATCTGAAATGCAAAGAGACTTAGGGCGTGGGTTCAAGATACATGAAGAATCGGGTAATACTGCTCATGGACAGAGAGATTTTGGTAATGGCTTCAGAATGCACGGGTATTCAGGCAGTACTGTTCAAGGCCAAAGAGATTTCGGAAGTGGGTTCAGGAGGCACGAGGAGCCAGGCAACACTGCCCAAGGGCAAATAGATTTTGGAAGTGGGTTCAGGAGGCATGAAGAGCCAGCCAACACTGCCCAAGGGCAAAGAAATTTTGGAAGTGGGTTCAGGAGGCACGAGGAATCGGGCAGCAGTGCTCAAGGGCAAAGAGATTTTGGAAGTGGGTTCAGGAGGCACGAGGAGTCAGGCAGCACTGCCCAAGGGCAAAGAGATTTTGGAAGTGGGTTCAGGAGGCATGAGGAGTCGGGCAGCAGTGCTCAAGGGCAAAGAGATTTTGGAAGTAAGTTTCTAAGAGATTAGATTCTACTCACAATTTTCTAGACGTCAATAGTTGTTTTCTTAGTGAGAGAAACCGCGATTGAAATTGTGATCAATATGTGAAGTGAACAATGTTAGTAATACATTACTAGAATGTATCTTTTTTAATTACGGCACGCAGTGGTGAAATGAATCGGGTGGGAAATTTTGTAAGCATGATAGCTGTTGCTGAAGCTGTTTTGGCCATGCTCTTAAGTAGGCGCAGCCGCAGTACGTAGAAACGTCCCAATTTGAAAATCGCTGTAAGAAAAGACTGATGTTAAATATGGTTTCTCGATGCCAAAGTTCTTCCGTTTGGGTTGGTCCCAAGTAAAACAGGCTTGAAGATGTCTGTCGTTATGGGACATATACGACTTGACAGAGATTCCCCAGCTCTAGCAGCACCAAGAATCGAAGAAACCTCCATGCATGCCTATGAAAATAGCGGGGCACTGGTTCATGCTGCGATATATTTTTTTATCAGGGCTGGTGCTATAAATGCTGATCCTTGACATAAAAAAGTGCCATACCCAAATGGCAAGACATTCTATCTATGTTGCTCCTTCTGAAGATCTGTTAGATTTAAATTATTATTATTTGTAGCGAGCTTCACCTCTTTCATCTATTCATGACCTCAGCAATAGTTTATTAGAGAGCGATAAAGACAGAATTGTTGAGTTTTTTTTGTATGATTAAATCATTATTTAGACAACAAATATTTGAAATGTGCTTCTTCAAGTTCGTCGTTCTCTAGGAGGTTTGTGGAAGAAATAGAAGTGGTATTTCGGCGATCGTGGTTGCTCTTCTGATGTAGTATGAAGTTTGGCCTTCTGGAACATAATTTCAGACCGCCTAACCTGATCTCGTGTTTCCTGACAAAATCTCTGTCTACGGCAAATATACTTTTGGAACTTGCACAAAACATGCAAGAGGTCAGAAAAGCAACTAACTTGTGGTGTTCATCAAATAGGTGTTTCATTGTCTCATTTCCATTCAAATTTATTTGGACAGCGGGTTGATGTATCATAGATAAAATTGTGTATATTCATGTAAAAACAATCGTATTTTATGATTTGTAATGTAATTTAAATAATTCATGTTGTTCTTATGTCTGGTGAGATTGTACTGCATTATAACATGTTCATAGGTTCGAATGATCTAGAAGAAGTCCTTTCTGGTTACAAATTATCATTTCTGAAGCCTGTTTCTCCGTCCTAGCTAGTCGCTTTCAAATGGAGATCTGCGCGTTCGTCTCGTGTACGAGACATGACTTATCTTCGTTCTGTCTATCAACACTAGATACAAATTTGGATTTGATCATCTAATCTAATCATTTGATCATATCTAAAGATCATCTGAAGTTTATACAGTATCATAGGCACATTTTTCATTGTGGTGGTCTGTATATATCTTATTATAAACTTCGTTCAAATGAGTTGTTGTTTCTTGTTTGCAATATCCCTCCAGCTTCGTCCGGTGAAGTAACGAACCCCGCGATGCTGAGTGAACAATGGAAACACGGTTAGGTGAACTGGTTGGTAATTGTAAAATCTAATAAACGTGAAATAAATGAGATAGCCTCAATTAAATTTCTTTGGTTAAAATAATCGACCTTGGTGCGACTGCGATGGATGGTCGACCAAGAAGGTCGACCTTGAGTACTTTCGCTTGTTAGTTTTTCAATTACTGGTTATCGTTAATTTGTATTGAACTTTTATGATGATAATAATAATGAATTACAATTTTTAATAATAATTCATTCTTCGTAATTCATTCCCCTTAAAAATATGTAATTCATGCACGTGCGACGCTAAGGAACTAATTTTTAAACGCGAAACACGTGCACATTGATTAATAACTCCTATGTCACTCAACTCCTGTATTTCAATTCAATTCTAACACAAAACATCCATGATTTTGTATCCTCAGCATAATTAGTCCTAGCGTAGTTTTGAGACTACAGATCATTGGATTACGTTCATAAGACCAAATTTCCGTTATTTACACCCTGATTATTGGCGCTTGCCTGAACTCATTTTAAAACTTAGTCTACTTGAAGTCTTGTGCTCATGGGTGACGCGTGTCTCCCGCGATCGCAGTGACACTCAATTACCTGCCTGACCAGGCCCCCCTCGTCAGCTCGCTCATCATTAAAGCTTGGCTGCGCAAAACATCCTTGCTGCTCAGGAATAGTGTAATTTCATGTATAAATACGCTTATAATATTCTAGAACTCGGAATATTTGTACAAAAGTATGATCGAAGGTAGGGGATCCTCTTTTGAGCACCTATAACCAATTTACAGTGTAGCTTTTACCGAATATTTCTCACCCGAGTTGTAAAAAGCTCATTTCCTTCAATTGCTTGCTGGCTTCAATCTAACCAAGTTTCAACTCGCCTCTAGATTGACGGGTTAGGCCTTTGCCGAGACGCGAACGTCTGAGGTGTGTGTGCAGTGCATTTTTCCGCATTGCAGTAATCAAACGTCATCTGTAGTTTTAGAAGCCGGCCACTGAGAAGTTCCAATTCCATTATATCATTCTTCTCGCACTCATACAGTATCATAAATGAGTGAGATACCCGGTAAAATATGGACACAAATTTGCATCCACAAGTATAGTTGGTAACTGTTTATTAGATGAGAATTAGATGTGTCTATTCGCGCTCCTAGGGGGATTCCTGAGCGCCCCACCGCTGAGCTCGCGGTGTCTGACTGCAGGTCTCAGTTGTGGGGTTAAGTTATTATGTAGGTAGGATTCCTTACATTAAGTTAGTATGTAGGTAGGATTCCTTACATTAAGTTATTATGTAGGTAGGATTCCTTACATTAAGTTATTATGTAGGTAGGATTATTTACATTAAATTATTATGTAGGTTTTAAGTTATTATGTAGGTAGGATTCTTTACATTAAGTTATTATGTAGGTAGGGTTCCTTACATTAAGTTATTATGTAGGTAGGATTCCTTACATTTCCCTTCTCTGTCTCTCTCGTGCGGGCGGCCGTCGTCCCGTGTAAGCGACCTTTTGTTCGAGTGTCTTCGTTTCTTTTTGCTTTTCACCTGTCCTTCCTTGTCACTTCGTCTCTTTGAGATGCTAACGCTGCTTCCTTCGAGCCAGCTTCAGCGGGCTGGACAATTGAGACCTTCCAACCCTTGTGGGTGATGAACACTTTTGATTTGAGAAACTTTCGATAATTGATACCTTACACCTCTTTGGTGATGTTATCTTGACTTCCGGTGCGAGATAGCTCTAAAGCTGAAGCGTTAGAAAACATGTGGCCACTAAACTAACTCGATGCGTCTATTCTATCCTTTTTCATTTATTGAGTTGCATGCTTCTCATTCATGTCCTCACTGATTGATACCCAATTATAATTCATTTACTACAAAGCAGTGATAATGGAATTATGAAGCGTACATAACGAAAATGAGATTACTAGTGGGAAGAATTGTTCAATTTCATACATAATACTTGTACGGCTAATATTGAAGCTAAAAAAAACAAATCTTATAATGCGTACGTTTGCACTCGATACACCCACCGGTCTTTTACGTTGTCTCTGCTATGAAAGAGTCGAAAAAATGAAACTCGCAAGTGCATCCACATTACACAGCGGTCAGTAAACATGGCACGGTATGGTTGAACTAATAAAAGGTTGACCGTGAGAAGCTCGTTTTTGCGGATGTAGTGTGTTGTTCGCCCGTGACGTCACTGATCTCAGTAACGTCACGGGCATTGACCAATCACCGAGATTCGATCAAACCAGTCAACCAATCCGTCAAGGGAATGACGGGTTTGTTTACGTTTCTCGATCTACGTGACGTAACAAGAAAGCTGAACTGAAAGACGGAGCTTCTCGTGGGTCAACCTTGCATAATTCAACCACGGGGCACGGTATGTTGGCTACGGACGATCAGAACTACATTTCAATAGAATTATGTTGAGACATTGCAGTGGTGGAGATATTTGTCATTCCCCTACTTTAATTGGTGGTGAATTTCTAGCCTCACATTCTGCTGTTCCGCCATAGTAACTAATATATTGTTTTTCAATTTGTTTAAAACAACACCAAATATCGTATTTGATTATGCATCAAACATTTGTAGCCTAAAAACAAAGTTGAAAAAGAGGCAATGAACTTGCAATTGCAAAATCAAAATAGGCAAGGATTTCATGGGGATCCGTATGAGAAAAGTGCTAGCAGAAACATCCGTCGAGGTTCGCTTAGCAGTGTTCATGTGAACAATAAAACACCGGGGTAGAATCTTCTGAGTTCGCTACATACTATCTAAGGTAACAATAGTTCAGCGCTGGTTGAAGAATATATTTTCGTTCGTCACGTCGTACCGGTTTTTCATTCATGGCATCTCTGACAGTTATGCGCAAATTTCAGCTCAGCCATGAAAGTAGCTTTCGAGCTCACAACCACGTTTCTAGTTAAGCAATGCAAAAAAATGCTGATTGCATACACAAATGTTGGAGGGACAATAGATGTCATTGTTTTCTTTTGCAAACTATAAATAGATTGTATTGTTTTGTATTGGACCACTTTGCTTTTAGCTTTCTTAGGTCAAAAGCACACGTGCATTATATTTCTCACCTTGGTAATCGATCTCTTTAATTTCGATTCAATATTTCGGTTATAGTAGGCAAATACTGCCGTGTTTATTTGATGCCGCCCCTTGTAATCACTAATACCATTGTCATATTTTATCTCCTCTGATGAACAGACATCGTTGCAATTCTTTCAGAGCCAGTGAATTATAATGATACATATATTTTTAATGCAACCAACAAATTGGTAAGTTTTCCTAAATTTCCATGAACGATTAACAGCAATTGTGGGTTGTGATTATGACAATTCCCATTAATAGAATGTATCTGGTTTTTAGCCTTTTAGTTTTGCTTACAGCTCCATGCACATAACCTACCGAGATATGCCGTGGTAAGCGGCTGGTATTATATAAAATAACAACGTAAAATGACGGTAATTTTAAATACAGGTGGGATGTGAAAATCCAACTTTGCTGCAGGTGGGTTTTGGGTTTTAAAAAGTTTTTGGAGTCACCGAATCAAGGGATCACAGCACGGTAGATACGTATATAGATAACATTAAATATTTTTTATCTAAAACTTTCTCTGAACTCGCAATTATCAATTAACTCGCAAATGATCAATTAACTCCTTGTATCGACTTTTATACTTCTAAAATTTTGAGTAATTCTGTTAGTACTCGTATTTTATTAGCAAATAGTTCTGTTTGCTGACACAACCGGAAAGGTGCAGTTCGTCGTAGTGTAGCAGTTTCGTCGAAAAAAAGCTACAGTATCGAGCTAGGGTGGAAAGCTACACATCCAGTTCGACCGGTCACGAAATCATGCTCAATCAACTCCTGGGTAACAGCGAATTTGAATTTACATAATATGAATTCCAGGCATAGCATTCATCGCATAATGGCACTTGACTGCAAAAAATGATTCATACTCTCCAAATATTTCCTACAGTCAGTCATTGTTGTTCTTAAAGTTCCTAATCTGCATGAACGGCCAGGGCCCTAATAAAGATGCCGCCTGTCTCCTGAAATTCGGTAGCCTTCGAAAGAAGTTAATTCCTGCCGGAGATAGGACTGCTATGTGGAATATTGAAGCAAGTGCTGTTAAATGCGGCACTAAATTAACTTGCGTAATCTTTGCTTTCTGAAATTAGCTTCCTTCTGACTTATCGAGGAAGAATGTGATCCCTCAAGCCAGACCATTCCATACAGATTAAATTGCATAAATTTTTCCTAATTGTACCATTAAATTAAATTTCATCTGAGAGGCCTCCTTAATTTCGATTTGTTTCGGAAGCAATGGTTTGAAATAATGCTGGAGCAACACAACAGTATACATTTATACATGTTGAGATACAACAGTATCTCAACGGTATACGTTTGAGATTTTGTATGTTTCACATATAATATGCAAAGCAACAGTTCACAAACTGTCGATGATCAGCTGAGATGAATTAAAATTGAATTTACTGAAATAATTTTCATTTTTATTGAAATGGAGATCAAAATATATACAATAAAAACTAAATATAAAGTAAATAGAACCTACATCCTTAACCCTACATCCAATCGCTCACGAACAAGAACCCTGGAAAACCCTCCAAGGAACGAAATTCTAAATATATTCTAAGTTCAGCGCGGTCAATATTAACATGCTATTTTAAGTATTTCCACTGAAATTTCAAACAGTCAACTATAGTTTTCCTTCCCAGGTTTCACGGAAAAGCCTTGCTTCTTCACCATTCTCTGGACTGATCATTCTGATGTCCACCGAAATCAGGCTTCATAAGTTCACGGGCGTCAGGCAGTCGTGTAGTTTTCTGCTATAAGTTGAGACATTTTGATAAAAGTTCAGATTTTATTATTCCTGCAGATAGGGGTGGGAC